GAAATTTTCCTCATGTTTAGGGCACAAATTATGGAGGGGCAAGAATATACGTTTGCCCCTCCTCCAAAAGTTTCTTAGGGAACGATGCCTCCTCTGCCACCCCGTATCCGTCGCCCCTGTAAGCGGTCACTGAAGGCCTGGGTTGCCACTGCGTCACGTTGACGCTTATAATGCCTCCAAAACTAGGTTGAAGAGAGGAAAACTTCAACTGAACGTGAACGCTTGCCATTTAAGAAAGGCAACGTATGATAAAGTATATGGGCATCTGGTTACATCTTCAGATGATCGAACAGAATAATCAGGTAGGTATACGGTTTCTTGTCTAAGCTTTGTCACAAATTATGGGGGGGGGGGGCAAAAAGATACTTTTGCCCCCCACGAGTTTGCCAGGGGGGGGGGGCAGCTGCCCCCCCTGCCCCCCCCCCCGAATCCGCCGCCCCTGCATCCAGGGCGCCTTCGGCACCCTGAATGAGGGCGCCTGCTAGATTTGGGAGGGGCTAAAGCCAGGGTTGTGCTTGACTCATGAGTCGAGTCAGAAATTTGACTCAACTCTGACTCAACTGAGTCAGATTTGAGTCGAGTCGGATAAAATGTTGAGCTGTTGAGTTGAGTCAGAGTTGAGTCGGACAAAAATATTGCGGTGTTGAGTTGAGTCAGAGTTGAGTCAGTAAAATAACTTTTGACATTGAGTTGAGTCAAACATTTAGGAACATGAGTCAGCTGACTCAACGTTCTAGAAACAATCTATATATGTATATATAATATTACTTTTCATCCCCCTCCCGCTTAACAACTTGGCCCTGGCCCTGCTGCCGGATTTTTTTTTCACCCGCCCCCCGCTCAACAACTTTTTCATCTGAGTCAATTTTGAGTCAACTTACTTGACTCAACAAAAAATTTGAATCAAGTTTGAGTCGACTCATATTTTCATTGAGCCGCTTGAGTCATGAGTCGAGTCAAGGGAAAAAATCAGCTCCTTGTTTGAGTCAGAGTTGAGTCAGGGCTGGCTTTCTGAAGTTGAATGATGAGTCGAGTCGGCAAATTTTTTTGCGTCGAGCACAACCCTGGCTAAAGCCCAGTGTGCCCCCCCCCCTTGGTTGCGCCCCTGCTTGCAGTTAATATAACCTTAGCGTAATTTGTTTTGTTGGGTTAGGCCCTTTCGGTACAATGGGACCATTTCAGGGCCGAAAGGATTATAGGAATTAGGGGAAGACATTGGTCTGGGCAGGCACCCTAAGGAGTCTACGGGGCTGAGCCTGAGCCCGTCCGTTAGGACAGGCCACGAACCCCCCCCCCCCTAAGAACTCCCTGGGCCTGCACCCGGCGGCCGGCTATACGGGTGGCTCCCTCAGAGTCGGGAGCTGCCGTACGCGCTCCAAGGGAGCAGCCCGGCCCGCATGGCGCATGGGATAAAGCTGCCTATCCAGCTCCAGCCCGGAACAGGGTTGCGGCATGTAGAAGGATTTTAGTATCTTGAGGAAGGATACGACGTAACGGGACGTGATTAGCGTAATGAACAGTGTTTTTCATTACACCGTCATAACTTTGGCCCCCATTTGGGCTTCAAGCTAGGCGACTTTGGTCCTTGCTAGGCGGTTTTGGTCTGGTAAGAATTGTTTTGGCGAATTATTACTTTCAATGCAATCCTGATAAAAGGTTTATGGAACTTATTTTTGTGTTTCCATTTTTTTAAAGAAAAAGACAACGCTTTTTATCGAATCAATATAAGCATCCTGATGATGATGAAAATCAAGTCTTTATATTGATATTTTTGGCAGCGCCGGCGGATCTTTCGGATTCCGGCACCATCCGCTGCAAATATGGGTGAGTGATATTTTAATGATTTTTAATGAGTTTTTACTATTATACGGTTTGAGTGGTGGAAATATGGTCGGTCGAAAGGTCTGGAAGCATGTTATGAGTATATAAAATGAGTTACTGGTTGAGACAGGACAGCAATAGCGTCGCATCTCTTGTTTATACCGATTTCAGTCGCGCTGTTTACGGCTTTTAGGCCCCTATTTTCTTTTCACTGAGCGTCTGGAATCTGGATAAGCGGATTTCACACTAAACGCAATAAGGCTGAGGGCTTAAGTGTAATTTCATGGATGATCACATGTCAGTTGGGAACCTATCAGTTGGGTTCCAGTCAGTGGGGGAGCCAGTCAACCAAGCACCTCACCAGAGACATGATGATCACTTGCAGGATATCCAACTGACTGTGGGAGATGTAATGACTTTGCTCGCAGCCACGGATGGCAACTCAGCTATGGGTCCCGATGGATTACATCCTCTTGTTCTCAAGAATTGTGCCGGGGCTTTGGCTAAGCCAATTCATGCTATATACTTTCGTTCATTGAGGGAGGGCCAGTTGCCAGAGGCATGGAAGCACTCAGTGGTTATTCCAATCTTTAAGAAGGGGTTACGACTTGATCCACTTAACTACCGTCCCGTGTCCCTAACATCCGTTACATGTAAAAGACTCGAACGTGTACTTTGCGATGTAATCTATGATTATCTCGATTCATCGTCATTGCTGTCGTCCCACCAGTTTGGATTCCGTCCTGGTCACTCTATGGCAGAACAGCTCTTGTTGGCTTATGAGGAGGTGTCAGAGGGAGTTGATGAGGGGAGGGCTGTGGACATGGTGTTGTTTGACTACAGTAAAGCATTCGATGTAGTACCTCACGCAGTTCTGATTAAGAAACTCAGTTACTTGGGCATAGCAGGAGAGGTGTTGAGTTGGATATCCTCCTTTCTTTCCAACAGAACGATGAGAGTCAGTGTAAACAACAAACTCAGTAGCCCTAATTCTGTTACCAGCGTAGTCCCACAGGGCTCGGTGTTGGGGCCTTTGTTGTTTCTTGTCTATATCAACTTTGTCGCCTCCGGCTTCAGTTGCAAATACAAAATTTTTGCTGATGATTTAAAGATATATGGTTGCGGTAAAACACACAGAGACTTCTCTGGTTTACACGAGCTAGAAAGACAGATTCAGACTGATATAAACACTCTGTCCAGCACTTCCAAGTCTTGGGGTCTTCGCCTGAATCCTAACAAATGCGTGGTGCTCCGGTTTTCTAGGAGACAACATGCCTCGCCCCGTTACGTCTTAGATGGTAAAGAGTTACCTACTCCCAAGTCCCATACCGATCTCGGGGTCATCGTTGATGACTCACTGAAGTTCCACGACCACATATCATCTGTCACCCGCAAGGTCGCTGGTCTCGGGCACAGTTTCCTCAAATCTACTGTCTGTCAGTCTCGGGAATTCATGTTGTTCTTTCTTAAAACGCACATGAGACCTGTGCTTGAATATGCCTCGTGCGTTTGGCACACTGGTTATATCGAGGATGATCGGAGGCTCGAACGATTCCAAAGGTACTGGACCAAGCAAATAAGCATGCTCGAACATCTCGCATATAGTGACAGGCTGAGGGAGTTAGGTCTGTACTCGGTCAAGGGACGGCTTATGCGAGCAGATCTCATACAGTATTGGAAAATTTTCCACAGGAAAAGCTGCGTCCCCCCGGAGATCATGTTCCCTCAGCCCTTCACCCGTGTCACCAGGGGACACATGTACAAGATTGGTGTGACGCATGTGAACACAGATGTGAGGAAAAGATCATTCTCAAAGAGATGTGTCAATGCATGGAATCGCCTACCAGAACATGTTGTTGATGCCCCTGATGTATCTGCTTTTAAGCGAGGGTTAGATCAGTTGGGGAAACTACGAGGCGAACGTCCAAAAATGGATTGGTCAATAAATGGATTTCTTATGACCATATATGGGCATAAATGCAGCCATCGCTATTACGGGTAATTAACGGGAAAGTAGACAATACTTGCGGCATCACGTCCACCCATCGGAGAGAACTAGGTTCCATTTTCCATTGGGAACGAAGACTGTGAGTGAATACTTAACGGAATTCAGGGAATTCACTCGAAAATGGCGATCAAAAGATGTCTTTTCTGCAGGTTCTAGGCACCAGCGCCAATTCATTTTTTGACCGGCAATCAGCTGGCCATTCCATAAATTGATTGGCAAACAGCTGGCTGATCAAAATATGGATGCGGTGGGAGTGCGAACAGCAGAAGCCACATGACATGACAATGGTCTTCTGCCCTTGTGTGCACTTTCGGTTCGCACGAATGCGGGCTCAGGTCCTATATACGCAATTGCACAGCCGGCAGCATCGGCCGGCAGCACCCGGCCTCGTGGATGGACATAACGGACATAACTATGGAATTATGATACTAGGTATTGTCCAAACGACGAAGAGGCGGTATTGAAAATGACAATTTATGAATGCTTTTATTTTCCCAATCAATTGAATACACGTCGATTCCTAGCTCACCCTGGTATCAAATTAAAATGCCGGGGACAGAGCTGAAAGTTGGCATACTTCACCGTTAATTCTAGCCATAGGCGGCGGAACGGGTAGGGCACCGGGGCCCCCTTTGATTTTGGCATCTTAATATTAGCCCTATTGGGTGTTGCATGGAAAGAATGGGACCAAAAGTCGGCAGTGCCCCCCCCCCCCCTTAATTGAAGGTGTTCCGCCGCTACTGATTCTAGCCCGATCTTTCGACACCAACCGCATTTTTAGGTCAGGTCAGGTCACTGACCTGTGTGTCGTTAGAGTAAGCCTGTGCACCTAAAATGCTACAACTTCGCAATGCTCTCAGTGCCAGAAGAGCTCGTTTTCTTTCAAGAGGCTCTATCGAGATCGAGACGGCGTCAGGATCGAGACGGCGAGAGGGGGGGGGGGCGTACTGGCGTACTGAGTCCAACCCTCCGGGGTCCAAGGCCGGGGCGCATGTGGAAAACCATTAGGTCCGGCGATGGTGAAGCCACCAGATCAGTTAGTTATCGTGGGGCAACAAGTTAACAACAACAAGTAAATCGCAGCCAGACGCGTGCCTACCTTTTTACTGCCCTGTAGCAGTCTCACCACTGATTCGTTTTTGTTTTCTTTTGTATTTCATACCCAGACTGGCGTCGCCTCGGCATACCATTCGTCATGGTGATCCAAGACGCCTGTTGGAAATGAACACAGCCGGTCCGCCGGGCAGTGTTCATCTCCCACCGCACATCAACATAGGTGAAGAATGGTGCTGAACTGTGGGTGCTCGAGCTCTCCCAATTCTACGCCGGTTTGGCTCTGGAGCCGAAACAGACGGCGGAGGTCAAGGTCACCGCTAGGGCGGCGGCGGATTTGCTACGCCCAAGCACCCACAGTTCGGGCACAATTATCCACCTATGCCCACTGCATGCGCCACTACTCATTAATAACAATTGAGCACCCAGTTATCTGATCGGGGCCATTTGTAGCATTGGCCAACATGTGGCCATATATAACATTGACCAACATATGCCCACCAGCATGACGTCCGAGCTTCCAACAGATATATTGCTCCTCATAGCATGATTATCGCACACGGATATTGTTGCATATCATCGCAGCAGAAAGTTGACAGGCCATACGCCTAAACGGTCACCGCATATGAAGCAACTTATGTACTCGAGCGGCGATGACGCAATTCAAAGGAAAAATATGTATCGTAAAATTCCCCCTTCGTTCGAACCCATGACATGTCTGATTCCTTAATTCTACGCGAACTGCTTGTATGAGGAACCATCATCAGTAACAAATAAGTTGATGATGCCGTACCAAACCTATCAACCCACAACACTCGTTTGAGGACTACACTGTTTCAACACTGTCCTCCACTTCCTCCGGAGTCCAGACGGTCGCCACACCTCGCTGCCTTCCGCCACAGGTGACTGACGGCTGGCCTGCAATGAAACATATGAAATCTGTTACAGGAAAAAGTTTACTTTTAACATGGGGTTTTGAACTGGAATAGCAGTTCCGTGGCTTCAGCTGAGACAGGTTCAGACAGGCTCACAGTTCAGACAGTTCAGTTCAGACAGACAGGCAGACAGGCTGACACAGTTGAGGTCAGGTTAGATTATGTTTTGTTATATATTTAACTGTGAAAAGATGACTGAGGCACACGTGAGACGCACATATCAATATTGCAGCAAGGGTGACATCTGCTCAAAGTACCGATATAAGGCAAGGAAAAGCCAATCCCAGCAATAGATGTCATTTAGATTGAATAAATTTTAAAATGTTACAAAAAAGGGCAGCTGCTTACCGTCAAGTGTCACAGTGGTCACCCCCTAATGTACTGGTGGCTCACATTTCTCATCCTTTAACATTGGGTATAGGACCTACCGAAAAGAAATTGCTCCTAACAGCATTGACACTTCTTTAAAAAATTTAAACTGCCATATTAACGCAATACCTGACCTCCAAAAATATAATAAAAGCAAAAATATACGACGCTAGCGTCACGCACCGTAATTGTCTCAAAACCACCATCATTTTCACGCCGCCTATTTCTTCTCTTCTAGACAACCTTACACTAGAAAAGAGACAGAAAAATATCAAACAGGTCTTCCTATGCAAATTCCACTCAAAAAATTGCAAATCCTCACATATGTGGCATCGGCACGAGATAAAAACCGGGGACACACACCTTTCTGGAACGGAAGAACAATCCAGAGGGACACGACGCCTACCGAAATGGCCGTCTGCCTTGCCGTAAATATTTAACTTTCAAAATAAAAAACTTGACAAATCGACAGCTTAGTATTTATTGAAAATTTCTGACATATTTAGGGTTATAACGATAAAGTAATATAATTAAAATTTAATGTTCATGTTTCATTTACAAACGCACGTTTTTTCAACACCGCTGCTTTCTCTATCACGGCCGCCTCCACTAGATTCGTTCGGCATCGTGACTAATTGGATTAGGACCGCTGGTGATTTCTCTACAGAGTAAGTATGGGCTGTATGTGGTTATAATACTTCCATATGCCGTTTTTTTACCATTTTCAAACTAGGATGCACGAAATCAGGTCAATTTATTGATTGCATGACCTTATATGGGCATGGCTCCGCCCCGCCCCACGCATCCCAAGCCATTCATTGGTCAATTCATTTTTTGACGTTCGCCTCGTAGTTTCCCCAACTGAGATGATGTGATACCGGACCTGCTATTTGATTATGTCTAGCCTTCTTGCCCTGTGTATATTTCATATACGTTTGTAAAATATTTGGTGCTAATGTGACATGTGAAACGCAATTAGTGTGAAATTAGGATATTAGCGAGAACAAAAGGTACTATAGTTCGTTTTTTCAAAAGGACGCTGGCTCAAAGTTCATTGTCGAAGCTCTCACGTGAGTTTTGGCAACTTCAGCGTCTGGCTAAGAATTTCTTGCCGAAAAAATGATCGATTTCAAATTGTGCTCGGTAAATACAGGAAATTGTGACTTCAAAAATGAGCATAATATGATGACGTCACTGGTAGCAGCTGGCACCCAATGTCCGTACGAAAGCATTCATTGCCAATTTTTTTGGGGGAAAACTTCGTTTTTTGCTCTTACCGAGGCCCGAATCGAGTAAGCGATTCTTTCCATGATAGTTATGCATTGCATTGCAATGCAAATTCCACAGCATGACGTCACCACTGTTCTCATGTCTAGTTCCAAAACGCAGGCATGGAATTTATCGGGAATAATTCACATGTTAAAATAAGTTGACGTTCGAGTTTCTCAGGTTCAGTTTTTGCCCGTTTTGCTCGCTAAAACACGTGCTTGTTCGAAAAACATACTTGGAGCCAGCGTCCTTTTGAAAAAAAAAAACGAACTATAACCTTGACTATAACACTCGATACTCGATCATGTATTACGATAGGTTAAATGGCGACACACATTTCCAGTTCATGGCTCACACTGCAATACTCAAACATGGCTGGTCTTAAACGGAATTGGCGTGTCTTTCGATATGGGTTCCTTTCTTTTCCTTGCCACTCCTTCCTGTGACTGTATACTTGGTGAAGGGAACCAACCAGGTAAGTGAACCAGGTAAGTGGGGAAACTACGAGGAGCCAAACAAAAATTGGATTAGCCAATCAGCGGCTGGAGTGGGCGGGGCAATGACCATATATGGTCATAAAATCAGACAACTTCATCATTTCAATGAATTTTAGCATTCAAATGAAAAAAATAAGGCATCAGAATGTTTTTTAACCAGACAAGGCCTACACTCACCCGGTGCATAATTAACTGGTGGCTCTAAATCGCAGAGTTACAACGCAAGGTCAAACCGTGATTGGCAAATATGGCGGATTGAAACAGACGCGCCAAAAAATGTAAGCAGTACCGTGTTTTAAAAATGTCATTATTTTTATTATTTTGTTTATGGTTTTTCTGATTGTGGTTAAGCTATTATTTTAAAATTAAATATCTTTGTTTATTGTAATTAAATTAAATCTTTTAACAATTTTCTTTCATAAAACCAATCCATTTATTGAATGGCCAGCTGATTGTGACGCCCAGAACCTGCAGAAAAGCCGTTTTCCTATCGCCATTTTCGAGTCAGTTAGCCGAATTTAATCAAATCACGCTAATTCCTAGTGAAAAATGGAAGCCTTTTCTCTCCAATAAGTGGACGCGATACCGCAAGTACCGGTTTGTTATACCGTTTTTCACCCTTAGTAGCGGGGGCTGCATTTATGCCCATATATGGTCATCAAAAGTCCATTTATTGACCAATCAATTTTTTGACATTCGCCTCGTAGTTCCCCAACTGCTATAGGGAAACAAAACATCTTGAATGTTTCGAGAACATGATGCAACATCAGATCATCCCATAGGCTTAAAGTGACCATCCCACCTTAACATTAGTTTTGAGTTGAGATAGCCAAATTGGTGGCCATGGCCTGAAAATATCGGTTTGGGCACTCACAACACTGAAAAATGCTTTAATTCGGAGATATGGAATTTCAAACTTGCAGTTTTCGGATTCTCAGGGGCTAATGCATTGGGATGCCCCCTTAGAATTTGTGACGTCAGCGGAGATGTAACTTTTTAAATCTTTTACTAAAACATTTGGTAGCACGCGGGTAGCACGCGGTGGTATATGCTGCCTTGCGCGCACCAAATGCCGCACTTTCAAATAAAGTCGCTAGGAACAGCGGAGATCCCAAAAAGTAATCAAAAGTAAAAGTCTAATGTCTTGAAAACTGATGAATATTTTTCGATGAAATTTGTTAGATTTTCGTTTTCAATCTTTGTGAACCCAGCAACATCACTTTCATGTCAATTCATTAACTTTTCTGAAGGTGGGAGGGTCCCTTTAATGGTGGGGGTTTGGTACCTACATATTTTACAAAAGCATTTTAGCACTTAGTAGAATTCATAAGGAAGAGAATGGCTTGTGAAAAATGACCAAATTAGTATTTTCACTAGAGCTGCTGGAGGTGAGCTTGAGCTATGGCTTGTTTGAGCACTATGATCAATATTTTGGTGTTGAAAAATGACCTTGTGTTCATCTCTGGTGAACTGATCATAACATGAGGCCAAAATGATGTATTTTGGCATGCTTCGTCTAGGAAGACAACCCAAGTAGAAATAGGTATATCAATAATACCTTTTGGCCTCATTTTGCAATCATTTCACTACCAGAACATGAGTAGGCTATTTTCAAGACCATGCTTTTCACTAGAGCATTGAATATTGAAAAAATGAAAGTTATGCCAATGGGCTGGGGGTGGGAACACCTGTGCCACACAAAAGCAGGCCATGAACTCACTAGCGGATCCAGAAGGATGGCCTTTGACGCTGTGGGGGCTTACCCCAGGAAATTTTATTGTTTTCTAAAATTTCTCAGCCTTTCATTCCATATTGACTCCTGTGCAGTTGAAAACAAACTTCTATTAAAAGTTTTGTTTCATTTAAAAAGAAAATACAAATTTGGTTGGTTTCAGGTTTTGCGGGGATCATCTGCCAGTGCTATATTTACTGGCAAAAATGCCAAAATTTTATGGCAAACCTCAAGTTTATTTCATTCTTATGTTTGCCGACTCCCTGATGGAAAATGTGTTTGTGTCCAGCCAAAATGTCAGTTCACTTCTAAAGGCGTCATTGATAATGTTACATTTACTTGGCTATATGTTCGCAGTTCATGATCTGATGCATGACCCTTATGATGACCCTTATGATCCTACTGTGAGCCCATTTTCATGAGCATCTACAAAAATTAGATGCTCTGCAGCGTAAAATACTACTCTTTGATCATTGTTGTGCAGATGAAGTGTTTGGTTCCCTCAGACATCACAGATCAACTTCTCCAGTGCTCAAGAAGTTCAATGTTTTCCCGAAGTGTTTCCAACTCATAAAGTCGTGTTTTTGTGTGAAAAAACTGACAATCTTGAGAAGAGTGAAATTTATGACGAAAAGTTTCATTTTTGTCAGAATTTAGGTAGGCTGCCATTTGTGACATTGTGACTTTGTACTGTTCAGGTAAGCCCCGTGGTCTGCGCACTGCTCGCAAGCACGTCAAGAACCGCCGTGAGAACCGGTGGGCCGACAATGACTACAAGAAGGCCAACCTGGGAACGCGCTGGAAGGCCAACCCCTTCGGAGGCGCCTCTCACGCCAAGGGAATCGTCCTCGAGAAAGTGTAAGTTGACATTTGATCTGTTCTAGTGATGCAGTGACATGGCTGAACAGCAGTTTAGGGCTGGGAGGATCTGATGTTGATTCGTGGTACTGCCTGCCCCCTGGGCTTGTCCCCATCTGGCTACCAACTGTGGATTGGGCTCTGAATGCTGAAACAATAGGGAAGTTTGGTCTGTTATAGATAACAACGTTTTCGATTCATCTTAATTGTGAACCATGTGTAGCCATTTGAATGGTCAGCATTCATTCTACAACAGCTGTAGGCTCCATTGACTGCCACAACCTCGTGCTAGCTTCTGTCGAGCATAATATTTCTGAATGTGAAAAATTTATCATGTGTAATCTCAACCTAAACAGCATGAGATGACTGATCTAAAATGTTTGCTTTTGAATATCGTCTGATTTGTCATCAGCGTTATCTCGTCTCACATTCTCCCAATGATGATTTCCCCTCCTCCGCAGCGGTGTGGAGGCTAAGCAGCCGAACTCGGCCATCCGCAAGTGCGTGCGTGTGCAGCTGATCAAGAACGGCAAGAAGATCACGGCGTTCGTGCCGCGTGACGGCTGCCTCAACTACGTGGAGGAGAACGACGAGGTGCTGGTGGCCGGCTTCGGTCGGAAAGGCCACGCCGTCGGAGATATCCCCGGTGAGTGGCAACGAAGACGTTAGGATGGTCCGGCTGTTACGGCTCGAGTGGTGACCCCGACGCTCTGATGGTTGGAGTCGTGGTCTGGAATCCGGATATTGTTTCGGTTGAACGAAGCTCCTTTGTCCGTGGTGCTGATAGTAGAGTATGAACGACCTCTCCCTGGTCAGGCCGATGACACCTGGTCTATATACATATAGCGCCACCTGCCATGCATTTTTCACACGTTGTTTCGGTTTAGTCCGTCAGGCTAATCCATGTTTTTTTTTACAATTGTTGCATCATATAAAGGTTCTGATTTTGAAATGAACAAAAGCGCCGGTGCGTGCTCCCTAGTGTTCGAAGTCATTCGTCATGCATTTCTTCGCTGCACAAATCCTAGTAAGCACGTTGCTTCGCATCGTATTTCTTCATCTTCGGTTAGGTTGGGCAGGTTAGGTTACGTTGTGTTTGTTAAGACTGACGAAGAAATGCGATGCAAAGCTCAAGTTAGGTTGCGTTAGGCTAGGACGACTAACAAATATGCAGACGAAGCTTTGCTTGACGAAGAAATGCGAAGCGAAAGCTGGTCCTTGAACCAGTTCCTTCGAATTTACCATTTGGCACAACTTGTTTTGTTCAGAAAATTTTGACATTGAACCTCGTTTTGCCTTTTTTCTGCTTATGCTCTGTACTGTATGTTCTGACGGGCTGTATTCCTTCCTCAGGTGTGCGTTTCAAGATCGTGAAGGTTGCCAACGTGTCCCTGCTCGCCCTGTACAAGGAGAAGAAGGAGCGTCCCAGGTCGTAAACCAATACATGTGAGGTCGTCGACACTTGTTTTCTGTGGTGATTTCAGTCGACGGGAAAACGGAGTCTGGGCTGGTCTGGGGTGGGTGCTGACTGATTTACATTTGCGAGCCCGAGATCTCCAAGATTGGGGGATGGTTGGTGTGACAAAGTGGAACGGTAGTACAGGGGCGGATTGCTTATGATCCCAGTTGGGGGGCTCGCAAGCACTCGTTAGCTGCTGGGGGTAGTCGCCAGTCGGTAACACAACTAAGGCAGCGCTGCCACACATTCGTAGACATGTCGTTGACTAATGTAGAGGGCATTTGGCAGATTGTCATCGCATCATCAGTTATGCTGTAGTATCTTGGTGAACTGAGGGGACACTGGGAGAGAGCTCCGGGCGTTGACTTGTCACAGTGCACCGAAAGCGACGTTGATCCACCCACGAGACGATAGTTACGAACGGGTACAGATGAAATCTCGGCCACGACTGAAGGGATTTTGTAGCGCGACGGGAGCTGGCGGTCTGGCCGGAATAGGTGTCGCTGGTGTCGGGGGGACGGCACTGTCGGAGGCGGAATGAAAGCCGTAGGTACTCTAGGGATTTGCCATAAACTCTTCATCTGGCCGACGCGTTGAATGATTTATTTTTGTCTGGAAGGATCGACGAGGTGTTACCTTTAGGTCAAGGCCAGGTCTATGCCGATCAGGTCCGGTAGCGACTAGCGGGTCGAGGAGGTCATGTAAATCATTCTATCTGCAGCTCATCCCGAGTTCAGTAGTGCCTTCACTGACTCGTTTTCTTAACGTGATGGGGACTTATTCACGAAAATTATTGACGAAATTGACGGGAGCATTTTTTTTCGCATGTGACGTCAGTAAGGCTTAAAATGCAAAACCTAAGCATCGGAATCGGACCTTGCAAAAAAGCGCATCACTAACAAATTCATGTGTGAATGAATCACGAATTCGTGTGTCTTACCATTTCACGCGCTAAGTTTTCATGCTTGAATTAGCCCATCAACTGCTGAGGTCCGTGGCCGATCCGATCTTAGGTGACCCTTACGAAAATCCGAAATACTACGAATGTGAGGATTCGGGAGAGTTTCGTCATGGTGCGTGAGATTCCCTGGTTCATAAGTGACCTTATAGGTCAGTGACCTGACCTGACCTCGAAATGTCATTGGCGTGTGACAAAACATTTAATTCGTATGAATCGTTTGCGAAAAAAAGCCTGGTCTGTGGCTTAGACGCCATCGGCCGGGAGGGTTGAATATTCCACGTTATTTCCAGATATCTTAAATTCACTGAAAAGGCTCTGAAGCTTTTTCCTACATGCCGGGGTATGTCTTAAGCACAGCACGAGCCGGGCAGTAAAACTATGACCAAGAAACTGTCGGTGTCAAAATGCCATGTTATTTGATAGGCCGGGCAGGAAACAAAAGTTTACTGTATGCCTCGCCTATTCAAATACATTAGCCGGAGGGGTGTGGTAATAACTGGTGTAAGCAAATTGACCACGGTCAAAAATGCATTACCAGTTTGCACTTAAGCCAACATTTTGGGATGGTCTCGTTCCTAAGTCGGCTAAGAGCTTCGGTCCAGAACATAAATTTATCGTTGGCATACAGTAAAATACATACCAAACTCGGCCGGTGATAAATTTTCAAGACCTCAGTCCTTACTGATTTTTGAACTCGGCCTTCGGCCTCGTTCAAAAATCCAGTAAGGACCTCGGTCTTGAAAATTTATTTACACCGGCCTCGTTCAGTATTATATATTACTGCCCGAGTTTACTGCCCAGGGCAATGACCTCTAAACTACAGTTTATCGCATTAGTCCAGAGGTATAATTGACAGGGAATGTATAATTGACATCATTATTGCATGATATTTGCCGCGTAAAATTAGCAAACTAACATTTTTTGGTAAATATCTGCTCTGCTTATCAAGGGTTTTGAAATATTCTGTATTGGTTACAAAGCCGAAATTATGGTAAGATATGCGCCTATTAATCGAAATCCGTTATCGCCTGTTGTCTTATCTTCGTTTGATATGCCCACTGATACCTTGGGCCTAAGTTAATGCGTTTTTATTTGGCAGTTGTAGTCCTTTCCTCGAAACATACATGTAAAATATGGAAAATATAATGTATTTAACGAGCGTTTAGCCATAGGGCATATCAACAAAGTACGATTACATAAATGAAGCAAAGATTCTTGCAAGAGCACTGAGAAAATTCACGTTTAATCACTAGAAATATTATACCTTCTTCTTGTTCTTATGTCGTGGCAAATCATTCAAGTATTATGTTCCTTGGATATCCAATAATTGTGCCATTCTGAGTTGATATTTTCAGACGTGATTCTTTTTGAAGTAAGGTATTTTGATGCATTTTCTTCTATAAATTTCCTTTAAGGCAGTAGCGCAATCACTGTTAGGAAAATATGGACAAAACAATTGTATAAAGGTGTCACCAAAACCTGTCGAAACTAACCTAGCAGGTATGCGGCATGTAGGAAAAATCTTACTGACCTCGCCTTGACTGACCTCAGCCGTACGAAATTATTTGGAAACTCGGCTTGCAAAATTTGACTCCGGCCCTCGTGCTTCGCACTCGGGCCTACGTCAATTTTGCAAACCTCGTTTCCAAATAGTTTCGTCGGCCCGGTCAGTAATATATATTCTGGCATCAATCCTTCGAAATTATGTGTTAATTTGACAAAGTTGCAACTTCTTTTTCAAATTTATTTGACCCAGCATCTGGAAGCTGCACCCTTTCCCGCTCATTATGTGCACGGTGACTATAAATACACGATTATGTGCACGGGTTAATCTGTATTCGTCTGATTATGTACACATAGTCTGACGAATGCAGATTACGTGTAGGTACACATCTTACTAAAAAAAATACTGCACCTAATGAAGCCTTCACACATGGGCGCCGCCACCGGGGGGGACGGGGGGGACGCGTCCCCCCCACTCTCAGAATGGAAGGGGGACGTCCCCCCCCCCAAACCCATTACGGAGCGAGCGAAGCGAGCGTAGTCTTTCTCGAAATTTCTGAGTATGAACGGGCCGTGGTCACGCTTTTGCGAGACTTATGTCTCAGGAACCACTTGACTGATTTACATGCGGTAATTTTTGTAGGGTAGCTTCATTCCTTCTAACAAGTATTGAACTATTCTCGATGCATGTGGGTGACCTATTATGCACCCGCCACGTGAAAAACGAAGAGGTGTCAGTTTTGTAACAATTGCATTAGGTATCTCGGTAACATACTGGGCCGATTGCGCTGAAGTTAGCATGTAGGTAGGTAGGCACCCACCAGGCAATGCATATCCAAATCCATGACCATGTGCCACAGTTGGGGTGCTGCTGCACGTGCGCACGTGCAGGGGTCGATTCCAGATCTCGAGAACGGCTGAACCGATTGTGCTGAAAGTTGACACATGGTTAGGGACCGGTTATTAGGGTGCCGTGCAAAAGTCAGTTGGGACCCATTTTGCACGTGCGCACGTGCAGGGTGCCGCTTACAGATCTCGAGAACGGCTAGGCCGATTGCGCTCAAATTTGGCACATCGTTAGAAACTGGTCAGTAGGGTGCAGTGCACAAGTTGGTCGGAGGTACCCCCTCGCAATTCCGTACGTGCAAGACCAACCCCCTCGCTCGCTCCGTTGGTCGCCCCAAAAGGCGTTTTACTGGTTGTTTTCCTACTCGAAATTTGATTAGGCCCTTCGGTCCAATGAGACCATTTCAGAGCCGGAAGGATGAAAGAATTAGTGGGAGAAATTGGTCTGGGCAGCCACCCTAGTGAGCCACTTGGGCTGAACTCGACCAATTGAACAGGCAGCCCAGCCCACTGGCACTCACTGTACCCGGCAACGGACTCTAGCTCCAGTGGAGTCATTCCCGCATGGGATAGAGTTGCCCGTCCAGCCCGGAGCAGGGGATCGCGGCGTGGAGGAGAAGGATTTGACTGTCCTGAGGATGGAAGAGATGGAACGGTGCCGAATCTGAGAGGGTCCAGGATGTTCAAATACTCAGTATGTGGGGTATGGGCCTACATGCATTGGTCTGACCCCTGCCACCTCGGCCAACAAAATCTCCAATTCTCCAGCTCAGTATCCGACCTGTTATCGCGGAACTGCCGATTTTTGATATCGTGATCAACGTGTGTCGTATAACACGACTGGCCGAAAACGGGCATAATATATTTCGTCTAACCAGCCAAGAGCATGACTTTAAACCAATCCGACCTCGGAGTCAAAATCTGAACAATTTCGAAGACTTCAACTCCGACTCTGGCCAAAACTGTCAACTCCGACTGATTCCGGCTCCGACCCCACAGTTCTGCAGTCACACTAACTACACTAAATTTTCAGCTTCTAAGAAATAAGCTATACCGTTGACAGGAGCACAAAACTTTGAGGCGACTTGACTACTTGACTTGGTGACCTGACCTAAGGTTTTCTGGTATCAAGCTTTTTAAACGGGCTGCAAAATTCGTATTTTAGAGCAGTTTTGCCTGATGTTTTTTGCCAATTTTCGCGGCGCTTCGCGCCGATTCGTGCACAACCCAGGCAGAGAGATTGTAACTATACCTACAACGCCTCCTCCCCCACGCGGGTATGCAATATGCATTACCTATGCAATATGCATTACCGATCAGATTAGTGGCATACATCAGCAATTATACCCTGATGATGAGGCACTAGAGGCTTTGCCATGTCAAAATTGAATCGGACATCAGATGTGTATATACACATCTGATGTATATACACATCTGATGCTCCAAGTAGGTAGGTACTCTCCAAGCTCCAAATGTAGGTAGGTACTCGGTGGGAATTCGGTCTACAGCCATTACTTAAAGGAAATACCTAAACTACTTTCCTCAAACCAGTTGTTTTGCCACAGGTTTATGAGTTTTTATGCTTAAAATGGTCAGGAAATAACATAACGAATATTTGCAAAATGATTTTTTATTTATTTTTACATAAGAACCAATTTCCGTCTTTCGTAGAGGCCTTACCTAGGTATATTGCAGCGGAAGCTGATTACGCGTTGACCAATCAGATTACGTAGTTCAAAGCAGCTGAATGCTGATTGGCTGGCATTTTTCCGTAAGGGAATGGATTCCTCGGTAAGGGAATGACAAAGTGTAATTATGGGAATGACTTCAGTATTCAAACCTAAAATCGATACCGATATCTTTGGCTAGGGTGATCGTTGAGCCATAAAAGCTCCTGATTTGTTCTCGTCTCAGCTCAGGCTACAAAACTGTTACTTCAGTTCAAAACCCAATGTTAAAAGTGGTATATTTGCTTTAAACTTTGAATGCATCGGACCGAAAAAGCCACGGTAAGAATGCCTACTTTTGGGTTTTCAGTCGGTCAGTCCGTCCCCCCCAGTCAAAAATCCGTGGCGGCGCCCATGCCTTCACATCCTCCATTTAAGCATCACGTATGAAACAAGACTTTCTTGTAAAGGATGTATCTGATGCGCTTTATGTGCCGTTGGGCATGCTTTTACAGCAGTGAGCAGATATTGCTCATAATGACAATAGGGTGAGATGCTTCTAAGCTCGTCATGGACTTAAAGGTAGTGTGCCACCTTCCAATGATTTCCCATTTTATTTTTCCTAGGATAAGAAGCTTCTGTTTTTACCTAATATCGCAAAAAAATCAAAAATGGGCCTGGAATAGTGCCTTTTTTGCCTAAAAGTTTATCGGTTTTTCGATATGTATAACAACTGTAGTGGGCTGACCTGCAAACAGGCGTCGGCAACAATCGCGAATGCGGCGCACATGTGACAATAAGCAAAGGTCATTATAGAGTTACGACGTACGGGAATGAGTTATCAGCTGTCTAATCGTAGACAACACAATGTCGAACTTAAACTGTAAGCCTGTATTGGTATTGTTTCTTTAATTTGGCTGTCGAACATTAATTTATGGTTTGAAATATGATTTTATGTAAAATAATTGATATGAAACAGCCGTCTCTTAAGTTATGACCCCATTTCACCACACGCAAGTGGCAGAAATGACAATGATCAGCTGACGCATTTTTCTTGGCCGAAGTCAGAGCGCGCAGCCCGACGCACCACGCGTATTTGGAAATTCCGACCTCGACGACCATCAGAAGCCACCTAACAGGCGTGTTCGAAACCGCAGGAGATGATGATGAACGGGTTTATCGAAACTTGATTGGATGAGCCTATCGGTAATAGCGATTTTAGTGTGTGCATTTATTGTTCATAGTGGTGTGAAATGTGGTTGGGGTACGACCGACAACCCGTCGGGGCGAATTTCGCACTGGGGTACTCAAAATTTGAAGAATTTAAGACGTTTCCATGAGTTTTGAAGGTATGGATAAGTTCTAAAAATCCGGTTCTCCTTATCCGGGTCATTAACTCCATATGGTCCAAGAAAGCTGGTCCACTACCTTTAACAAGAGACATTCAGGGCATCTTAACCCGCGCACCGACGGGGGTCTGCGCCAACTTAGAACCGACGGGGGGGAGGGCGGATGACCGCCCCCCTCCCTGAGAGTTGAGAACGAAGCAAGATAGCGACAAGCGGTAAACGGCATGGGGTACGCACGGACAAGGTCTACAATTTTTACAAAGGTCATTTTCAGGTCAGGTCAAAGGTGACGTCACAGGGGTCAAAAAAGTCAAAATGGCGGTGCTAGATATGGATAGTTTTTCGCGAATAACTTTCGAATTAGTCAAGATAGGAACAATTTAAGGGCATCATCGTGGTCCTCTCATCAATCCGCATCGAATGATATAGGCCATTCCGACCCGTTTTAGTGGTAAAAACAGGGAGTTGATTTTTCCCCCATTGACTTATAATGGGGAGGTCGAGAAATTGACCTGACCTTAGGTCATCGATATCAAAATTCCGAGATAAACAAATTGTAGCTACTAATGACATTCTGCGACTTTCAAAGGCCTCCGACATCTACTGTAGCTCTGGCACGGTGACAAAGTTGCAAAAAAGTGACTTGAGGTTGGGTCATTCAAAGTGACCTGGTGACCTGACCTTAAAAGTTAAGAGGTTCAAACTTGCACACCATGTGTAAAATTAATGATAGAATGGTCGTACCAAATTTCGCGGCACTACGCGCCGCGGTTTTCCCGCTATTCGCGAAAAACCTCAGGAAGGGGGGGGCGGATATCCGGCCCCCCCCGTCGGTGCGCGGGTTAAGCTTTCTGTCCTTCAAACTTTGCAAATGTGTTGTGGTCAGGCCATCAGGCTAATTGTTATTGCCTCGCTCCCACTCAACCCTCCGCCGAGACTTGTCACACGGAGCACCCAAGGACGCCGGGGCTATCTTAGAGGGCATGCAAGGGCGCCACAGCTGAATAGCTATGTCTCCCGGACACCGGTGACGAATGCAGTAGGGATGCTCTAAGTCAACATCGTCAATCCCGTCTCCGTGGCAACTAGCTGGGCATGATTTCTCAAACTTTTGTAGGGCCAAACTTCAAAAGTTTGCCGCATATAGGCATCGGTAGATCTGTGAATAGAGGCTGACAATTAAAAGTTTGTAGTCTCATAACGACTCATGCCACTTGCCCAGTGGGCAGTGACCACACCAGTAAACTGAGCAGTCGCCTTTGTCCAAGCCTCTCTCGTTACCCGCACTTCATTGTTATCACCGTGTCCAGTTCTGTTTAAATGTACGCGGCTCACTGCATCCAGGAGTCTGCACCCAAGGGCCTCCGTGCCATACTGTTTGTCACCGTTCTCCGAAACGAAAACTCACGCTACGTCTCAGACCTACGCCAAAACCAAGTCTCCGGCACAATGTTCGTGACTATCCGTCCGTGCACGAGGGCAATTAGTTGCGAGTGTAGGTGCTGGAGGGCTGGCTGGGTCCAGAGTCCACTCCCCAGTGACTGGTCACCTCTGGGATCACACCTGTGACGTAAGTGTCGGTATAAGAGCGGCGCCGTGGCGTCGTTCCTCGCAGTCGACACCGTCAGGGCAGCTGGTCTCCCTCGTCCCGTCTGCCTCTCACCGCACAAACTCGGCGTTCAAGCAGCAGGTCTGCACAGACGCACCAGAAACAACTCGTACATCACAATCATGTCTCCCAGCATCGCCAGTCTGCCCGTAGATCAGGTCGCCTGTAAGTACTGGAAACTTAATCTTAGCGTAATCATGCAGTTTAACCCTTTCGTGGTTTCGTGCTATGTTTATTATTTATAGCTGCTTTGGTTTGTAACTTACGTCTGGTCCCTTTGGTTCCAATACATTACGAGAATAAAAAACTCCGTTTGCACACCGCAATGCCGAAAGACGGGCGATGACCATGTTATGTCTGGCATCGTCATGCAATCTAATCGGCCGACGGTTATACGCTCGTCTGCACATTGCAGTCCCCGGAAATGAACCTAACCTTGTTTGTTTTCAGCGCTGCGCCGTCAGTTTGACCTGCTGGACACTGACGAGGATGGCCACATCTCCCCGGTACACCTGACCAACGTCCTGCGCAGCATCGACCTCCACATCACCGATACCGAGATGGACGAGGTCATGGCCAAGACGGACGTGGATGGTGACGGCATCATCACATTCGAGGACTTTGTCGAGGCTTTCCGCACGTCCCGGAGGGAGGAGCTGGCCAAGGCTGACCACGAGAGGCAGGCCAACCTCAGGCAGACCTTCCAGGTAAGACGGCGGGCTTTGTCAAACTGAAGCGTAGAACCTAATTAACGTTTGATTAATGCGTGCACGTTCAGTGGTTTCTGGTTTCACATTGCTATAATCACTGTCTGCTGGGTCTTTATGTGGTGTCGCGGCCTGTTCCCTATGCGTTATCAACGACGTTCACTATGATTCCAGATCTTCGACCGTCGGAACTTTGGCACCATCAGCCCCAAGGACATCTGGAACGTCATGAGGAGCCTGGGAAAGAACATCCCCCTCGAGGACAGTGAGTACATAATTATAGGAGTTCGGCGTTCACTTTTATCTGAACAATCTTAGCATCATGAGCTTTGAGCAACCTTCCCTTTTCGCTAGTTTTCGTATCATTCGACTTTGGGTGTAACTTTTGCAGCTTCGGCAAGTTGTACCGGAAGTCTCAATCTAAAAATTGTGTTTACACATACCGTCAAGATTGGCGACAACTATGGTAAAATGAACACTTCAAAACAGTTTATCCCTTTCCGACTACAGTTTCAGTCGTAATGCCGGCGTCGATAACCTGTTACATCACAACTATAATGTGTGTTTCAGTTGAGGACATTGTTGCTGAGATCGATCAGGATGGAGACAGTCGCATCTCCTACTCTGGTGAGTCATAGGATAACACGAGGACGCTGTTTCTGGCTGTCATTTGTGTATTGATAAGCTTTTGGCATCAGCTTTTGAGTGGCGGACGGCTGTAGTTCCAACTTTGTATTGATGTGGTACCTTCAATTCAAGCGAATGGTGTTTCCTATGTAAACAGTCGAAACATAGCTTCTCCCTTAGTGTAACTATTTCGAATAGCTCATGCAAAGCAGAGTGTATCATAATTCCAAGTGTTATAACTGAAGCCTGACTGTGTCTGTGTTGTGTGTTTTCGCAGAGTTTGTGCAGTGTGTGTTTGCGGACGACGAGTGAGGCCGGGCTGACTCTCGCACGTTATCGAACTGTCGGCTGGCTGGTCCAGTCCGATCCGTCCCGGGTATGGCCGCAAACGGCGGACCGCCCCCACGACCGCCGACCCGCGCCGCTGTCTGAGAGAGTGAGAGAGAGAGAGCTCCGCTGTCCTGTCGGTACCGCGTGGCTCCGGCCGCCCGCTAGAGGGCGAGCCCGCCGGCCGGTGGTGCTCGCCTTGAGCGGCGCCGGACGCCCCTCCGCCGGGGACCGGGGGCGGTGGGCGCCGCCCTGGAGCCGGCCCGGAGACGCCGCACCCGCCACGGTCCCCGAGCCCTACATCTGTCTATGTTTATGGCACGCTTGTGACCGCCGCACTTGTTACTAATACAATGCACGGTGACAGCAAAACACGTTTGTTTTATGGCGCAAAATGCGTAAGGTGTAAATGCAATGCTTTTGACGATAAGATTGGAAGATGACGATAAGGATGGAACGGATTAGGCTTAAGCGTTATTTTTCTAGAGCGAGATACGAGAAACTTGTCATCTAGCCGCTTAGAACGGAAAACATTGCAATACCAATGACTGATCTAAGCAACCTTCGCAGTTGCTCGTCGGCACGGGAGAAGGCAACCGTCATTGTTGTGTAGAGGACGTTTTACTTGGGTGTCGCGTATGCAGTTGATGGTTATTGTGGGACGTAAAACGATCTAATGCATCGTCACATTACAAGGAAGCGCGCTGTACATTAAAACGCATTCGGCAATTTATAAACAACGGACCTAAGCGTTTCAAGTAGCGGGTCCCGCTCGTGTTATTACAGAGTTAGCAGATCCGCTCCCAGCAAAACCAGCTGTGGAACGCCAAATCGCTTATGATGATTCCCTTTGAGTTGCCGCTATCCTTTGTAGCATCTTTTGCAAATATTTTAATAATAATGTTAATAAAACAGGTCGCTGGTCATGGGCCGTCGGCCAGGTTAGCATTTGGTCATGCCGCTGCTGACGCCATCTGTGGGTGGACATAGCCTAGGTGGACTTTCTGATAATCACTGGGATGACTGTCCGAGGAAGATGACCATACATGGTAAACGGACGATTGTGTTGTTAATAATTCCCGTCATGGCGATCTGATCTATTTGATAGCGAATACAATTAGTAATTACTGATAGCACTGACTAATGACTACTGTATTGAAAGAATGATATATTTACTATGAATATTGGCACAGTTATATACGTCCGCTTCATTTCAAAGAAGCATCCTAACAAAACTCCGAACTGGTTACTGAAGTCATACCTAACATACAAAGCTTCAGTGAAACAAACCAATCTGCACACTCGCCCGTATTGGTGTTTTTCCAGCCGCGAACGTATAAGGGGGGGGGGGGTCCGTTGGACCCCCCCCTTGTCGTTTCGCCCCTGATCGAGCTAGAGCTTCGCGGAAAAAACGAGCGTGTTGCCCGTGACGAGAGGAAGCCGATGATACCCAATTTTAAGGTCCTAGGTCATCGGTTGACCTTCCAGGTCAGGTCAATGACCCAAAAGTCGGGAAAATCGGGACCTGTTAGAAAGTCGTAAAGCGTGGCTGTTATGTTTTTTTTCGGGTTGCTGATCACGAATATCATGTTAGTTTTGATCACAGATGATGTCTTCATGCATTTAGGCCAGGTCGGGTCAGGTCAGGTAAGGTCAACCAGTAAGGGTATTCGTAGTAGGTGGCAACCGCCTCTGACAGCTTCGTAACATGTTACGAAGGTGCCAAAACTACTTCGTAAATATTCATATGGTTGCTAAATTCGAATTCAGCTCCAAAAACTGGCCTAGAAACATGTCAAACTCGAAAAAGTGAACCGAGGTCATCAAAGGTCAATGACCTGACCTGACCTTCCGGTGACCTTGACACCCACCCTAATGCATGGGAGCAACATCATATCCTATGTTTGAACGCTTAAAACCACGAAAAGACTGCAAACGCGCGGCTAATGCGAGCCGACATACGCCGAATCGCGATTCCGGCCAAACATGGTCTCGAAAAGTAGGTCACAGGTCAAAGGTCATTAGGGTCAGGGTCATGAAAATTTCAGGGTAGGTGTAAAATTGATTAACGCGAGGGTACTGAAAGTTTCGTCGTGATCGGCCGCTTTTTACGCGAGTTATTCGCGAAAAACCGAGGGGGGGGGGGTCCGTTCGACCCCCCCTATACGGGCGAGGGTTAAAGGGACCCTCCCACCTTCAAAAAAGTTTATGAATTGGCATGAAAGTGATGTCGCTCGGTTCAGAAAGAGCGAAAACGAATATCTACCAAATTTCACCGAAAATATTCACCGGTTTTCAAGATATTAGACTTTTACTTTTGTTTACTTTTTGGGATATCCGCTGTTCCTAGCGACTTTATTTGGAAGCAATAGTTTGGCAGCTGAAAGTGTGGCACTTATTGCGCGCAAAGCAGCATAGGTATACCACCGCGTGCTACAAAACGTTTTAGTCAAACATTTAAAAATCGTTAGATATCTGCGCTGACGTCACACATTCAGAGGGGTATTCCTATGCATTAGCCCCTTTGAATCAAAATGCTGCAATTTTGAAATTCAATATTTCCGATTTAAGGCATTTCTCGATGTTGTGAGTGCCGAAACCGGTAATTGTGAGCCAGGGACCCCATTTTGGCTATCTCAACTCAAATCTAATGTTAAGGTTGGAGGGTCCCTTTAAACCTTTTTCAATATAGCGGTCAGCCATCAATTGCCATATTTATTGTCTACAAAATTTAAATAAAGAACCTGAATCTCCTCCACGGGATAGGTGCATCGCGTGACGCAATAACTTACAACCCACTCCCTAGATGTCGCTAGTGTATACGCCTGCAGGCATGCTGTGCCGCAACGCTCGCGGCTGGGCAGAGTGGGCGGCGCCCGGCGTTTCCGTGGTACAGCGCAGTGCTTCTCGATGTTTGGGCAAACAAGACGACGAGTTTTCTTTACATAATGTCTCGCATCATCATCGCTTCCACAGCTACGCGCAGATCGTCATACCCATCTGGCAGAAGTTGATTAACCCTGCCGAGGGGCGAGTGCCTCCCCCAAATTTTTTCGTGATTGCTCGGAACACGCTGGCGATAGAGAGCTGATACCTGGCACACCTGACCTTTGATTCAAGCCAGATCTTGTAACTAAAACCGAATTTTCGGGTCAGGTTAGGTCACTGACCTATGCCTTCATAAGTGAACCTCTGCACGGTCCTAAAATGTCGAAACTTCCCAACGTCCTCAGTGCCAGAGGAGTGTTCACAGGGAGATAAAACTTACGGTACTTACTTAGTAGCCTCCCGAGGTCTTATTTTTGCATTTCTAGGATTTTTCCTAAGGGTCACGTGAGGTCAGGTCAATCAGTCACGTGGCCTCACCATTATACCTAAGTCCATGGGGGGGGGGGGGAGACATGTGGAAACTGTTATGGCATCGGAAAAAAATGATTTAACTACCTCAACCACATGAAATCGCGATTTCATGCACTCAATGCAACTTGCAAGGTTCCATCCTTCACTTTTGCATCGTTGACCTTGTGTGACGCTCTAAGATCACAAGAGTGTTTCGTCAATAACTCTCGGCCCAATTGAGATAGCCAATCGCAAAAGCCACCAATGGACTCCGGAAGACCTGCCCAATCGAATGCTATGCAATTACGACCTCCTTCAACCAGCTTCGCAACCTGAGGGGCTCTGAACGGACCTTGACTCCAGGTCAACACTCTAAATTAACCTCATCACAAAAACAAGTATATCATTCGACGCGCCTGAGCATGGCGAACACGATGGTGTCAAAATCACGGCACTGCAACCATTTTTACCGACGTCATTTACCAGATCTACCTTCTCCTTCTCCTTTGTACTTCAGCAACACCAAGAAGCACCTATAACAAAGCGGGTGAACTGTGAACTGCATTAATCTAACTTAATGAATATCTACAATCTACATAGCTTGCGAGTTCAGTTAAATGGCACCAGCCTTCAGCTTCGCTCTTATTTCTGAACGCTTCAGATTCGACCCAGTTACCAAACTGCATATTTCTGTACACGTGCATTGTATTACATAACTTAAACAAGTGCAGCGATCACATGCAAATAATAAACATAGACAGATGCAGGGCTCGGGGACCGTGGCGGGTGCGCCGTCTCCGGACCGGCTCCAGGGCGGCGCCCACCGCCCCCGGTCCCCGGCGGAGGGGCGTCTGGCGCCGCTCAAGGCGAGCACCACCGGCCGGCGGGCTCGCCCTCTAGCGGGCGGCCGGAGCCACGCGGTACCGACAGGACAGCGGAGCTCTCTCTCTCTCTCACTCTCTCAGACAGCGGCGCGGGTCGGCGGTCGTGGGGGCGGTCCGCCGTTTGCGGCCATACCCGGGACGGATCGGACTGGACCAGCCAGCCGACAGCTCGATAACGTGCGAGAGTCAGCCCGGCCTCACTCGTCGTCCGCAAACACACACTGCACAAACTCTGTGAAAACACACAACACAGACACAGTCAGGCTTCAGATATTACACTTGGAGTTAAGATACACTCTGCTTGGCATGAGCTATTCGAATTAGTTACACTAAGTGAAAAGTTATGTTTTCGCTGTTAACATAAGAACCACAATTCGCTTGAAGGTACCACATGGATGTGAAGAAGCGCTGCAGCCGTCCGTCACTCATAAGCTAATGCCAAAACCTTGTCGATACATAAATGACAGCCAGAACTAACGTTTTCTTGTTTTCCTTTGACTCACCGGAGTAGGAGATGCGACTGTCTCCGTCTTGGTCGATCTCAGCAACAATATCCTCGACTGAAACACACACATTTATGGTGTTACAATACATACAAGGAATGTTTTCAATGGTGCAATTTGTGCACTTAAGTAAACTTTCAAGAAAATGTAGGTACAATATAACAGTCAAATCAAAAGGGGCGTTTTCAGTGACCAGCGGCGTGCTGAAAAGGGGCCACTTCACAGATAATATACTCACTGTCCTCGAGGGGGATGTTCTTTCCAAGACTCCTGAGGACGTTCCAGATGTCCTTGGGGCTGATGGTACCGAAGTTCCGGCGGTCGAAGATCTGGAACATGATAAAGTCAGCATCGTTAAGAATTTACTTGATAATATGAAGGAAATGGTCCGCAATGCTACTCGAAGGCTCAGCAAAGGCAGTAAGGAAGCCTGGAACCAAATACTACTGACAAGTTCAGCAACATCTTTAAATGATCCAAGTCCACTTACTCTCTCCCCAAAGCGGTCGAACGAAGCCCGCCGTCTTACCTGGAAGGTCTGCCTGAGGTTGGCCTGCCTCTCGTGGTCAGCCTTGGCCAGCTCCTCCCTGCGGGACGTGCGGAAAGCCTCGACAAAGTCCTCGAATGTGATGATACCGTCACCATCCACGTCCGTCTTGGCCATGACCTCGTCCATCTCGGTATCGGTGATGTGGAGGTCGATGCTGCGCAGGACGTTGGTCAGGTGGACCGGGGAGATGTGGCCATCCTCGTCAGTGTCCAGCAGGTCAAACTGACGGCGCAGCGCTGAAAACAAAAGTGAAAGGAAACTCAATGCTAGTAAAGCAAATGCGTGAAAAGATATTCACTCGAACTCTGGCTGACATTAGTCAAAAGTTGCATCGTATGTATGGGTGACGGATTAAGCATCTCGGTCTAATCATTTACGGATAAACGGAACAACTTGATGTGATCTCTGCCGATCAGGAGCACTAAAATAAATGAATAGCCAAAAATATCGAGTTCCAACCGACGCTGACGACCTACTGGACGCATCTCAGACATCCCTTAGCGAGAGTCGTGACTGATTTCACCGTGACTTGACCCGCCCACAACTCACAGTCAATCTGCTCTCGGGGCATTTGGGCGACCTGGGCTGTCATTATGGTAGCTTCTGGTGCGTCTGTGCAGACCTGCTGCTTGGGCGCCGAGTTTGTGCGGTGAGCGGCAGACGGGACGAGGGAGACCAGCTGCCCTGACGGTGTCGACTGCGAGGAACGACGCCACGGCGCCGCTCTTATATCAGCACTTACGTCACAGGTGTGATCCCAGAGCTGACCAGTCACCGGCGTGTAAACTTTGCTCTCCGAGCACACACCCCCGCACGCCCAAACACACCTGGGACGGGGAAGGCGGCCGTCACGACGCCACCGCCGTGCCGTGCGGTGATTTAGTCTTTTCGCCACGCCGCATGACCTTGCACTTGATGTGTTGTTCAAAACAGTGGAGTACACCTGACCTTAGCGGCACTCAGGGACTGTTGTGGTTTCCGCGGTATACATCATTGGGTTCTGTTCAGTGGCTTGTCTAAAAGCTGTTTAACGAGTGAATATATTAACCCTCGCCCGCACATGGGGGTGGTGGTTGCCACACCCCCCCCCCCCCCAGGTAGTCTTTCTGCTCTGCACTCAACATTTTTCGAGCTAAAGTGCTGATTTTTCGTATAGCTGCTTCTCTATCCTTTCTCGATGTCCACTGAAAATTTCAAGTTTCTGTGATTTTTCGTTTCAGAGATATGACCTTATTTTTCAGGTCATGTCATGACCCAAATGACCAATTGTCAACATCTTGCGTTGGCTATGGGCCTTGTGAGCTTTTGACACCTTGATTTCGGCCTTTTTTGCCAGTCTTACCTCCCACCTATCATGGAACATGTTGTTCGACGATGTACAGATGTCAAGGTCAGGGTCAAGGTCAACCTAGGTCATCTAAAATAACTGCGTTTTAGGCACGCGTAATTTACTTTTCACGAAGTTTTTTGACTGCATTTTTGGTAAAAGCTTCTCAGATCATGATTTCATGTAATAACTAATATGGACACATAAACACTCGGTGCACACATCAGTATACACACAGACACACACAGACATACAAACACATAATTGACCTTGACCTAACTTGACCTGAAATGACCTCAGCAGCAAAAATGTGGTCGGGTAGTGTTACAAAGAGGTTCTAGCTGGCTTGGCACCAGAAAACGGCATCTTCATCGGTATATGCTAAGCAGCGCACTTGATATCCAACGGTGACCCAAAACAGCAACATTTTTTAGTTTGACCTGACCTGGAAGGTCAATGACTGACCTGAGAAGATAAAACTGGGTATCATTGTATTTGTCTCTTCCCAAAGAATCTTTTTGGTCTTTACCGCGAAGCTCTATCTCCAACAGGAACGAAATGGCGCGCGGGGGGGGTGGCAACCACCCCGCCCCATGTGCGTTCTAGGATGGGAAAATGGCATGTGCGGGCGAGGGTTAAAGAAGGATGCTTTTGAGTGTTTTAATATCCCAAAAAGTTTTCACTTAAAGTTCTTTGATTTTATTCTTTTTATGGTTAAATTGTTGACTTTTGAAATCCTGGTTCAAATTAATACAATGGAATGGTTAATATAATGGAAAATGGTTGACAAGTTCCCAATAAGGATAGCCAGTGGATCGGTACCATCTGGTGATCGTATGATGCTTTCATACCCAGGTCATCTTTGAAAAATGCTTTTAATCGGATATTTGGCGCATACCTAATTATGTGCTATCAGCATCACCAGTTCGCAAATGCACTGAGAAACTGCTTAGGTATCAATCCATCATTAGTTGTTTCTGTGGCGACCACATCCACGACCACATTGTTTCTGTGGCGGCTTCCTATTCCAATTCGTCAGGAAAAAGCTTACAAATATGTTCTCTAAGTTAAAAAGACGAATACGATGCTTAGGTAATCGTCCATTCGGAAAACATATTTAATTACAAAAAAGCAACGTCTTTTATAGCTGTCGATGTCAAACGGCGTTCTAAAATATCAAGTTTCCGATCGAATTTGCACACGCAGCCGGCAGCCCACAGCGAACATAGATCACCCAAATAACATTCGGATCACCGATCTACTATCCCTTTGATCTGACCGGCAATTCACCAAGCGGCATTGCAGTAAGGTTGGCAGCCGGCCGAGCGGGCTGCAGCTGCAGCCGGCCGAGCGGGCAGCTGCGGCAGCTGGCGCTCTGCGCATGCGCCGTGGACTTTGCACTGGAGTCATCCGATGTCTGCCGACCGGGTTTTGGTACGGCCGGTGCCAAGAGCGGCCAATTTGCGGCGCAATTCGCCGCTCGCGCCCGCCAGCCGCGCGATGACGGCGTGGAACGAGCCGGCGAAATACAGACGAGCGCCGCCGAACGCCGGGCAAATCAGCTAAACACGGCGGTCCCGAGTGGTTTACTTAGGATCACCTGAGGTGACAAGGGTTGTAAGCAATAGTTTGCGGAGGACAAACAGTTTCTTGTATGATGGAACTAGGAGATTTCTAAAGGGCAAGTTGGTATTATTTAGAACGGAGAGAGTTATTCCCGCATAGTTTTACGCTTCTGACTTGATGACAACACGTGAAGCAAGGAAGTTGATCTTAGTCCAGAAATACACTGTATGAATGTCGTCATTTGTGTATCGACACACGAGAGAGCCAGGCATTAGAAAAGAGAACAAGGAAAAGGACAAAAGAGACAATTGAGAGCAAACGACAGCATTTCATAGTGCATATGATTATGCACGTCACAAAACGGTGAACACGCACGTAACTAAGAGGTTTCAACGTGAGGCTGTCAGGTGTCAGGCGGGTACAACTGAAGCAATTTTCGTATACAATGCCTAAATTTAAACACCAGTTTTATAACTCGACCTGTGCTCTGGTCAAACAAACACAAACATCAAAACACGCGAATCATGGTGCTCAAATTAGCCCGTCATATGCTATCTCAACACTAGCTGAGGGCGTGAAGATACACACAGACCAGTCATCGTCAAGCACTGGCGACGAGAGGGAGGCACAATGGCCTCTCTAACGCCTGAATACGTGTCGATTGCCTCTCCAGCGGGCTGTAAGAAACGGCGAAAGCCCGGCACAAACTTAGCACACGGCACCGACGCCCGGTGCAGCGTCCGGATGCAGAGAGTTTGACTCTTAAGCCGCAGTGATACACGTGACGGAGGCACTGCTCTCCAGAAATGGACGACGAACGGAGCGTTTCGGAGACCAGACGGAAAAGCCCAGTTTTGTATCTACTCATGATGACTGGTTCACAATTTCACTATAAAACACAAGTCAGCATGATAATATTACATTATAATGATAATATTGCATGATAATGTCATTTTTTTCTAAAGAGGTTTTGAGGTAGCACAATCTATCAGAAGCAATAACAAATTTCTACATCTCTTGGGGTTAATTTCTCGCGAGGCCTTATAGCCCTTCGATATTGTGCAACATGGATTTCAAGGGCCTGCTTACATGTGCTGGACCAGCCAATGACTCATGATTTTACGTAGAGCCAACCATTGATCAACTAACGGATTCAATCAAACGATCGCAATTTTATTAGGGAGTTAGCGCCACCACCTTGCAGCTCGTCGTAAGCCTCTTGGCCATTTGTATGCTCGAAGAAAGCACTCACCAGGGAGTTATAAAAGCTTGCACAGCTGCAGAGCTGCACAATGCATATACAAACAGACAAAACAACACACACCTATAGAGGCTGTGTAAACACGTTACTTGTTTGTCATTGTTTGTCTATTTGTAAGGTGTTCCCCTGTTACAGGCTACCGCTTATGTAGGTTTAGCCATTCCTTAAAACACGTCATCGTGTGACATTTCACAAAGCGTGGAGAAAAGAAGGAGCGGTCCGATACCTCCGGAAGCTGGCTACTGTAAAAGACCATGTAGGAAGTATGTATGTACCGAATAATGTCTTCGAACGAACGACCATGAGTACTGAGTATATATCTATCTATAGCATCATGTAACAAAACCAGAAGGCAGAGTTGCTTTTACAGTGAGTTTGATGTGTACTCAGCTCATATTGTAACCACATACCCACATGAGCCGATTTCGCTGACTCACGAATCAGGGCTTCAATTTCTAACAGTATCCCTCAAATCAATTTTCGCAAAGTTCCAAGTCAAATTATTTTCTGTTGGCTTAAAGCTAACTTCCAATAAGCGATCTTCATAGCTGACTCATTGTATTTTATTTCCGCCCCACCGCGCACCCACTCATCCCATGATATCAGACGGTGACTCCAGCTCTGACGTCACACCACTCCCATATGACGTCATCAGTCTGTCTGCCGATCTGAGGCTGCGGCCAACTCGGGAGCGGTCCGACTTGGTTCGGCAGTGGCCGCACTGCCTCGCGTCACATCCAGACAGAAGGTCAAGTGTCAGTTTAGCCCTCTCTGGCCGAGCGAAGGTCTAATGTCGGGATATGTGTCACTCTGTCCTTTTTCATAGCTCATAACGAGCACGTATTCCTTGTTAGTAAACTATTTCTAAATTGCTTCTGACTTCATGAATCAGACCAAATCTAGTTGGGCATAAACAAAATTTTTCGAATTTAATATTCCTGAGTCGTAAGTCCCGACATCATCGATGGCAATCGAATCCACTCATTTTCACCAATGACCACGATTCAGCTATTCTGAATTTTAATAACCGTGCTACAAAGCCCAAAAACGCATCACGTGTAACCCTACTCCTCTAACAGTAA